TGTATAGGTTCCTTTCAAAGGTTCCTTGCAGGGCGCTTTTGAGGATGCCCTGTGGCCTTACGCTTTACGGGTTCTTCTAGAGATTCTTCGAGGGTTCCTTAACTGGTTCTCTGAAGGGTTCTCGAGACTTTCGACGCAGGGCCTGCAAGGAGTCGATGTCAGCATCGTCGCCGTCTAAATCGGACCATCGAAGCGAAGGTTGCCTAGCGAGCTGTGTTCCGAGGTTGTTGAGGGGAGGGGGTTCATGTGATTTTGCAAGGGTGTGTCAGCTCTTTGCCACGTCTCCCCTGGCTATATCTGTCTTATAATATGTATATATATATACATATATATATATATTACACATACATACATACATACATACATATATATATATATACATACACACACACATATACAAATGCTGCAGGACAATGCATCCCCACACGAAGTTTGCAGCATGGACCGGGACCCACCTGTCACGAGTTCCGAGACCGAAAAGATGAAACGACGGTTGACTTTAGCACGGATGGCGGCGGTCCGCCTGCTGTCGCGGATGCTGAGAGGCCGGGACGTCTCGCTGCCTGCCAGGATTCTGGAAGGACTTCTGCTGTCTTCTGTCCTCTGTCGAGCTCCCGAAATCCTCGCACGTTCTTTCCCTTCTGATGTGGTAGTTTCCGAAAATAGGGGACCCTAGTATAGCACCCTAAATAGTAGGATCCTTATAAGGGCCCCAAAATAAGGTGCCCCTAATTTTCGGAAACTGCCATGTGCACACCTGGAGAAGCAAAGGACACAAGCCGCCTTGAGTTACGGGCTTCGCCGGGCATATCTTTTGCCTGCAGACCGGAGCGCTTCTCGGATTCACAGTGCAGGGCAGCCGAAGAATTCACTATGCATATATATATATATATATATATATATAATATGTATATGTATGTACAGATATATATATATATATATATACACACACATACTTATAATTATAATTAGAGATATCTATGGCTCGTGTTCGACATGCCTGGCCCGCGACTGGTCTTTGATGCAGGCAACGCCCGGGAGTCTTTATCCGCCGAAAAGATGCAGGATGATGGTTTCAAATCTAAGATATCTAATATACATGGGAAGTTGTGCAGCTGATGATGCTCGGCGCAGCTCTGCATCCTGTAGCCCTAAATCGAGCAAAGCTGCGGGGAACAGAACGGGATAGATAAGGGGTACGACTGTGAGTTACAGGGATTACATACTAGAAAGCATACGGGTTCACATGAATTAAGGATTCTACAAGGAAGAAAATCCGGTCTGAAGAAATGCAGGAGGGTGCTGCCTTTCTAAAGGCAGCCCTAAGGGGTTCGGCTCACTCTCGCACAATCCAGGCAGCATGTGTGTGCAATATAGGGGCCTTAATAATTAGAATAGGGTTTTAGGGCCCATTATACTATAAAAATAATAGTTAGGAACACCCACAATAGTATTTAGGCCCCTATATTAATGAGGTCTGCTGAGCGATACAAGCTAGACCTTCGGGTTTAGGGGTTGGGATCTGCAGTAGGACTGTGGCCTGCAGCTATGAGTGTGAAAAGTGCAGCCGGGCGTTGCAAAAGGTGCCTGTGGCTACGTCTTCTCATGCAGGTAAGTCCAAAGAACCCTTGAAAGGCCCAGGACAAATATTAATATCACACCTCCGTCAATCGAAATACCTGAGCACAGCTGATTACAGGCGCCCCGATGACATTCGCACATCTCCAGCTACCATCCATATAACTGCAGCCCCAGCACGCCGTCGTTGTGAAAAAAGTGGTGCTGGCCCCAGAACGAGCCAAGCAGTGTCAATCCTCAGCCAACAAAAAGATGGAGACAAATCCTGAGTTCCTGCGGCCTTCGGGTTCATGACTTCGGGGCTAGCCTTGAAAGTCAGCTGCACTTTTTTTCAGACGTCCCTTCCAGCTTCACTTTAGATGCGCAGCTTTCGAACGTGGGAGCTCCAGACCCGACGGCGGGTTGGAAAAGCTCCTAAGCCCTAAACCCCAAGGAAGGCACTTGGTGGCCATGAACCCCTACTCCGCATACTTAGTCCCACCTGGCCTGAGAAGGATGCCGACAGGAATGCAGACGTCCCAACTTCCATGAAGATGCGGCAGTATGTCTTGTATTTTTCTACACCCCGTAACCCTTGTTTGCATCAGGACTTGTGCAATCGCCTGTATTCCCTCCCAAAAACCCTACACCCTAAAACCCTACACCCCGTGCAAAGCACGATCGATGCTGCAATGCTGCGTGCGCTGCGGGAGCAGTTGGCCCAGAACCTGAGCTGGGTAGGAGCTCACATGGTCGCCTTGATCGCCATCGGTAACCTTCGATTCAACCCATGCAATGTCTTTAAAGTACCTGTACTATTCTGGGGGCTCCTTAGTATTGTTATGGTAAAAGGGACCCCAAATCCCTATTTTAACTAGTAAGGCGACTATATTATAGTACCCTTATAGATCCCGTATAGTAATCTGTGAAACGCTAAACTCGGAAACTCCCTGTTGCGCCGCGTCGCCGGAGCGACTGCGCTGGGAGTTCCAAGCGAAGGCCTCAAGCAGTGCAAGAACAGAAAAAAAACTATAACATATGTTAGAACAGTGTATAACGTAATATAATATAGACCTAGCATCCTACCATGTGATATAACATGATTTAGTATCACTAACCGTATAAATGTTTGATACATGCTTTAGAACTTAAGAATCCAACCGCAAAGGGTTCCCGGCAAGGACGAGCCTGCGTGCAGGAGGGCTGAGGTCAACTACTTAGAGGAGCATGGGACTTAGTAAATAGGGTTATTATTGGGGTAACTATACTTATAGTTGCTTATAACCCCAATTAAGGGACTTATAACCATAGTTAGTAAGTCCCATGATCCTCCAAGTAGGGCTGAGCGCAAGAGCCAACCACGGAACCGGGGGGGTCTGCACAGCGAAGTAGCTAGGAAGGTTGTAGATCCGTTTGATCAATTGCCAAGCTCTATTTACATGGTCAGGACCACAACTTGCTAAAACCTTGCAGGATTTGGTTGTGAATCGTGCTTGCTTCTCCTTGGGCATCCAGCAGATTCCTTTTCACACAACGACCCAACCAGCAACCCCACCACCCAGTCGACCCAAACAAACCCTCACGAACCCAACTGCAACTGAAAGTCCACAGTGTGCAATGCAACCAACTAAACAAGCAAACCGATGCAACAAAACAACTCAAACAAGCACGCAAATAAATCGAAACAACAAAGACACCTATCTATATATATATATATATATATAGGCATATATAAATATATAGGCACATACACACATGCACAAACAAAAACTCAAAGACAAGCACACAACCTCCCAGTCAGAGTGCGAGCGAGCAGCGAGCGAGACAGAGAGATAGAGAGAGAGAGAGAGAGAGAGAGAGCACCCTAAACCCTAAAGAGACAGTACATACGAGCAACTTACAGCAGCTTCCTGCACTTTCACGCGAAATCTCACAGCAGTTCGCTATGGGACTTCTTCAGAGCAGCTCAAACTTCCTTCGACCCGTTTCACCCGTTACATTGCTATTCTCCTTTCTACAGGCAAGCCGAGCAACACTACTGTGTCGAGAAGATCAAGTCAGATAGTTTGCAAACCAGTTCTGACATGACATGACTACTACAACTACTACTACTACTACTACTACTACTACTCCTGCTGCTACTACTACTGCTGCTGCTGCTGCTGCTAGTACTACGTATGCAGCATGAATACTGTAGCAACAGTACTACAGTACTAGTACTAGTTAGCACTATAACCAGTACAAGAAGCGTACATAGTAATATCATTCTTGCCAAGCTGCAGCCGGACGGCGCTTGAAATGGCACGACAGACACCAAGAAAAGGCGTCTGCAAGGCCAAGGGTGTATATCAGAGCTTATGTCGGCCCTAGCTTCCTCACGAATACAATAGCTCGCTGAGATGACAAGTGCAAATCTAGTATAGGACGTCCAGATCATGATCGCGAAGCAGGGAAGCTGGCATGAGAGACGGTTTGAGCGAAAACGCAGCGGCCGCATCACGACACCAATCATACTTGAGGGGTCAGGGGACTAGGATAAGTGGGTCATTTTTTTGCCACCCGCCCAGCTGAAACAAGTCGCACCGCAGGGAACTCGTCAGAACTAGTGGGTCATAAGTACCTTGTTTTGTCACCCACATAGTTGAGGTAAAGTTAGAGTATTCGAGTACCAAGCATATGCACAAATGGAAGGACAGCGGAGGCATTAAATTAGTAGTGCCACTGTGCTCTTCGCTAAAGCAACCTTGAGATTTAGAAGGAGACGTGCTTCTTGATGCAACTCTAGCGTTGTAAGAACTTGTCGGCAAGGCTGGTGTTAAACAGTGGACAGTGTGTCGATGCAGCTTGCCATCGACCAGATATCGATTCCGCAGTTGGCAAGGAAATGAATCTGCTCGCCCTAAAGGGCCCACAAGTACAACTATGCGCAGGCACTTACGCAACACACACACACGCGTAATAACGACTATAAATCTTATTGCAAACGCCCCATGTCGGAAGTAGGCCATCACGCTCTGAATCGTCGACTCAAGGTGTCAGCAAGCAACCGCTCAATCCCAAAAACCTCGACTTTCGACGCTTCCCGTACGTCTCGGGACTACTGAAAGTTAGGTCAGTGCTCGTTGCCGAAGCTTTAACCAAATCCTACATCCGTAAACCCGAAACCTTAAAGGGGCTCAAGGACAGGATGCGATTCCTGCTTCGGCTCTCGATCTCTGTCTTTCTCACGAGGCAGGACAGGCTTCCACAGAAGGGGTATCAGGGCTGAGTCGTGTCACTATCAAGGGCATGACAAGAAAAACATGGCTTACTTTCGCTGTTGCTGTTGCATTCGTGATCGAAGCGAACCTGTTGCGAACCGTCATTATCGAAGCGCTCAACTTCCTGCAAATTGGGGACCGAGTCGGCAAGCCCTTTCAAAGCAATGTCTTGAGGTTCCCTGCCGTCGGTGCTGCCACCCGGGCCCTGGCTGAATCCAAGCCTTATTGCAGCTTCTTTCCAGGTGAGATGTTGGACTAGCTGACTAGCGCACCCTAATTCTCATCAGCTATTGTGGTCTGATCTAAGTTAAAGTACCCAAGTACACCACCACCGCCGCCGCCACCACCGCCGCCGCCGCCACCACCGCCGCCGCCACCATCACTGGAGCACCGGACCACCGGAGCACCGGACCACCGGACCACCGGACCACCGGCACACCGGCACCACCGGCACCACCGGCACCACCGGCACCACCGGCACCACCGGCACCACCGGCACCACCGGCACCACCGGCACCACCGGCACCACCGGCACCACCGGCACCACCGGCACCACCGGCACCACCGGCACCACCGGCACCACCTCCACCTCCACCTCCACCTCCACCTCCACAACCGCTTGTATACAAAAATTTTAACACTTACTATGAACACATCGCAGACCCTTGGCGGATCTTGGCGGTACACGCAAGGTGCATTGTCGTGGCATACACAGATACAACATTATACAACACATGTATCATGCATGATGCCAACCCGTTCTACTGCCACAACAATGAGGAAACTGAGAAACATGATCAACTTTGCATATCCTTTCAACCAAACATATAAGGACACCGCGTGACCCATGTCATCCCAGCAGAAAGGACTGTGGTATGGGATGGAAACCGGTGGTTTGCAAATGCTCGATATGCCCCTTTACATAGCCATGGGGTCTGGTCGGGCATCCCGCTTCTTACCGTCGTGGAAGGTCCACAAAGCTTCTTCGAGACCCCAGAGCGTGTCCAACGCTCACATCACCGCACAGGCACCAAGCTACAACAACGTTGTTGCCAGTCGATGGCTGTGCTTCACACTGAGACACCCACGCAAGTTCCATGCCGGACGGGCAAATGGTTGTTAGGGCCTGGGCTTGACACACATACCATGGTATGGTATGGTGTAGTCTAGTCTCGTATCGTATACAACCCTAGAACTAGAAACATCAGCATCAAGCCGAAAACCAATTGAACCAACAAGCGCACAACCGCAAAAGCTTCATCCAAAGCTCAGGTTCCGCAACTCCGCGTGGGACCCTGCATGTCTGAAAAGAGCTTCAAACTGGAGAGCAGCAAACTGTCGATAGAGATGTGACTTAGATGGCTGCGGATCTTCGTACATCCAGCTTCAACTTCTCAACTACAGTAACTGATCGGCCACCTGTGCACATGCTATAAGGGCATCTTATGCAGCGAGTGTTACAGCAGCTGGCTGCGAAGACCCCGCAGTAGCCTTCCGTGATGTGGCCCCGCAACTTACGGGATGCCGGTGCAAGCATGTGGAAAGCCCGGAGGCAGTGAACCTTCGGATGACACAAGACCTAGATGCCCTCGAGAACTACGACACCCTGCACGTCCACGATTGCACAATTCAAAAGCCTGAAGAAGCTAATAGGGATCCGCACGAAGACCATCTCCTCTGGCATCAGGACAGTGGCGTTGTTCACCCGCGCTGCCGTGCCCGACTGAACCACAGCTCGAGGCAAGGCTGCTTTCAAGAGGCACAACTGCAGATTTCACGTCACAGCGTTGACATCAGCATCGTCATCAACGACGCATCATCCACCGCAACATGGCAAGACAAATCGCCGGTGTCGGCGCCGTCGCAAAAGTAGTAACTGTTTCGAAGAAAGTAGTTTCTGTAATAGACTGCCGGTCTGGATGCTAGGAGCCGTGGTCCTCAGGTTCCACTGCTCATGTAAGAACTGTTGAAAGGTACGGTTGATGAAATGTATCCTGCATTACCTGAAGGACCCTAAACTCTGGGAATTATGGTATATCCCTTATTCAGGGTACGGTTGGACTTGTATTATAAAAAGGTGAGTTCGCAAGTGCTTTGCACTGGCAATCGGAACTGTGGGTCTGCATCGAGGAAATGTAGCTGACATCAGTCATGCATCTGCAAAGGCTGTAGATGGCTTGTTGAGGAGTATGGCCCTCGCCAGGTCCTACAGACCCCGATACTGTCTTCCCCCGGCACCTCAACGAGCATCATGTCAGAAGCCACGCCTCTGACGGAAGGCTATGCAGTGTCTCTGGCTTGTGGCATGTGGGTGGGTGTCAAAGCTAGGGTCCCTTTTTGGATACCTTAAATATTAGGTGCCGTATTGTATTAGGTACCCAAAAAGGGGACCCTAATTTTGACAACCACCCATGTGGGTTGCTCCGGGCCAAACATACCGGACAGCAGGTTCGGGTGAATCAGGTGGTATGAGGCGGGGTCACTTTTGCAGGTGCACGCTTCTAACGTCCGAAATAACCTAGTTCATGGTTGGGATAGGATTGAAAATTTACATGTTTATTCCTTATTGGGTTTAAGTACCCATAAAAATGTAAAATGTTTCCCAACTATGACAAAGTGACAAAGTAACAACCAGCTGGACTTTGGCCTCTCGCAAGCATCTGCTGACTAAGGGCCCGGCAAGCGAAGTGGTCTTTCGCCAATCGCGACGGATCCCTGACAAATGCAAGCTTAAAGTTTATCTAGGCAGGAAGCCACACTGGCAATAAAACACGCCTGACCTTCGCGCAACACATACGAGTAGACTGTGATATACTTGTCTCTTTCAGCTTCCGTCAACACCCCAGCATCGCTTGCTGCTCATTCGCACATGTTTTCCAACGAATTCGTCTTGAACCCATCGTGCGGGTAGGAAAAAGACAAACCAGCTCGATAGCTCCTGAATCCTGATCCACCCTCAACCCCCACTTCCAAAGCATGCATCACTTACGTTCTCCTACACCACAGACGACCCAGCAGCGCCCTTTCGAATTTCAAATCACTGCAGCAAACCATCTGCAGACCATATGCAGCATTAATTTTCTGAGCACCACCATTGTGATATTGAAGCGCAACAACTTACCATCACCGTCACCACCGTCACGAAAGTCACCGGCACCACCATCGCCGGCGTCACCAGCACCAGCAACGACATCGTCATGAATCTCTGATCATCACCATGATCCTTCCTGCGTCGTGCATCCCATCAAGGAGTCCTAAACCCTAAGCCCCTAAACCCTCCTTCTCTCACAGGCACTCGAAGAAACCCCTAAGCCCTAAACCCTTTTAAGCATCCAGGCCTCTTGAACCCTAAACCCTAAACCCTAATCAAGGAGGAAAACCACTCAGCCAAGGCCCAGGCGTTACGTGGCAGGCGAAGCCCAGAGATGACTGCTCCCCAAATAGCCCAGGCCTAGGCTGTGTGTAGGGTTTAGGGTTTAGGGATTGGGTTTTAGGGAGTTTAGGGATTAGGGGTTTAGGGTTTAGGGATTAGGTTCTACGGTTTAGGGTTTAGGGAGCTTCTGTCAGAACATAGAGCTTAGAAGCTGCCCCACCCTGTAATAGTGACTACACGGATTATATTAGTGCCCTATTGTATTCCTACTATACCACTATTACAGGGTGGGGGCCCCTTCTAACACATAGCCAAGTGCAGGGTAATTGTTCTTTTTCTGCCTCGCAGGCCCACGTCGTGAGACCACAAAAAGCCTTAATGATTCAGGTGCCCTTGACCTCTTTAACGGCCCATCGCTACCGTCTCTCGCCACAGGCGACTCAGCATCTGACATAATGTGACGGCCGCCACGTGCCTCGTGCATGATGGTGAACTCGACTTCGTACGGCGAAATCTGAGCTTTGAGGTCCATACTTAGGGTTTTTTGATTGGCTCGGCTCCGCTACTTTTTCAATTTGAGATCATCTTGCCTAGCCTTATTCGCCCTGGCTAGCTCGGAGGGCTTGATTCTGTCATATCCCTTTGCAGTCATGCCTGGTTAGGACCGAATCATTTTGCAAAGGTCAGCCGACTCTGGATTCGGCAGTGCAGCGTTGGACAGTCTCGCTTGGCGCTTGGTTAGGCACTCGTAGTTAACGGAATAATGCAACCGTTCATCCCAGCGCCATCATCACAGGAACACCAGTCAACACATTCCACATGATTTGAGTTCTGCCGGCTCTCAGCATCCTTTATCCTTCAATTCGAGCGCTATGGAACCTCACAAGTTGCAAGTTGCTAACTCCAACAATCGAATCGTCATAATCCTAGGGCCTAGTACAAACCCTGGCCTCAAAGTTCAAAACTGAAGAATTGCCCGGAACTGAGCATCCACACAGCTCGAGCAAACTCTTGCTCTCCGACGTTGAACCTGCCCAGGAGGGTCCCACCATGAATGTGCTGCAGATCTTAGGCAGTCGCCTGTTGCGGAACATGCCTGGGATTTACCATGGAGTCGGTTGGAGGTCAAATTCCCAGATCTCAATAAGACAGAAGTGCAGTGATTCTGCAATGGCCTCTCCGACCTTCTAAGGATGCGAAGAGATCTGAAACATGCCGCAGCCTGCGTGGTCCACCAGCAGCCATATGGCACCTGGCTAAAGAGCATAGATTCAGCGTAATGGTGCCCACTCGTACCTACCTAGCAGTACCACACACCCATGGAAGACTCACTCCGAGCTCGGGAGACTTGCCTTAGCCTGATCTGCAGAAGCCTACGAGTCTCCGATCTCCCATCTTCAGTTTCAGGTGTGCTTGCATGTGCTTGCATAATTATGCCTGCACTCACTGCTGATATTGCCAAGAGCTAGGAGGTGAATGCCAAGTACTAGCGGCTGCTCAGGTTTTCAGCCTGGAAGCCCATCCGGCCGACCGGCTGCAATGCAAGGTGCCGTGACGCTTGCGTCGGATGCACCGACAAAGCTGTTCGACGATGAAGGCTTCCAGAGAGTTGCGGGACCCTTTTTTCAAAAGCCTTCCGTCTCCTTCCCGAGCTGAAACTATCGGAACACATCTTGAAACCGCATCCTGCATCCTGCCCCAGACGGGAAAGAACTGAATTTCAAGCCATGACAGCAGCACATTCGCGGGGCCAGACTCAAGCCATTCCTGGCAGTGACAATGGGTTTTGACCGCTCCGGACGAGGAATCTCGAGGTTCAATCGGATTGGGCTGTTGCACGGCCAAGCAAGAATTGTCCTTCCGCACTGCTCAAAGAGCCGACTGGGCCTAGGATGTGGCACAACTTCCTGCTTGACTGCCTGTGCCCACAATACACGAAGGCCGCAGACGTCACACAAGCCTGCTCCAACCAAACACCCAACCACGGACGAGGCAGCAAGCGACGAAGCGAGAAGAGCTGCCCAGCATCATGAGCATCAGCTGGGCCAAAGCATCAGCTCGGCCAGGCCCCGCGACTGCAACAATAACAATCGCAGCATCATGAGCATCAGCTGGGCCAGACTCTGCGAAGACGGCGATGAAGAGAGAAGAGCTGCCCAGCATCACGAGCATCAGCTCGGACAGGCTCCGCGAGAGCATCAATCGAACCAGAAGACCTGCACAGCTTCATGAGCATCAGCTGGGCCAGAGCATCAGCTCGGCTAAGCCCCACGACGGCAACAACAATCGCAGCATCATGAGCATCAGCTGGGCCAGACTCTGCGAAGACGGCGATGAAGAGAGAAGAGCTGCCCAGCATCACGAGCATCAGCTCGGACAGGCTCCGCGAGAGCATCAATCGAACCAGAAGACCTGCACAGCTTCATGAGCATCAGCTGGGCCAGAGCATCAGCTCGGCTAAGCCCCACGACGGCAACAACAATCGCAGCATCATGAGCATCAGCTGGGCCAGACTCTGCGAAGACGGCGATGAAGAGAGAAGAGCTGCCCAGCATCATGAGCATCAGCTCGGCTAGGCTCCGCGGAGGCAACAATCGAACCAGAAGACCTGCACAGCATCATGAGCATCAACTGGGCCAGAGCATCATCAGCTCGGCCAGGCCCCGCGACAGCAACAATAACAATCGCAGCATCATGAGCATCAGCTGGGCCAGACTCTGCGAAGACGGCGATGAAGAGAGAAGAGCTGCCCAGCATCATGAGCATCAGCTCGGCCAGGCTCCGCGAGAGCAGCAATCGAACCAGAAGACCTGCACAGCTTCATGAGCATCAGCTGGGCCAGAGCATCAGCTCGGCCCGGCCCCACGACGGCAACAATAACAATCGCAGCATCATGAGCATCAGCTGGGCCAGACTCTGCGAAGACGGCGATGAAGAGAGAAGAGCTGCCCAGCATCACGAGCATCATCTCGGACAGGCTCCGCGGAGGCAACAATCGAACCAGAAGACGTGCACAGCATCATGAGCATCAGCTGGGCCAGAGCATCAGCTCGGCTAAGCCCCACCACGGCAACAATAACAATCGCAGCATCATGAGCATCAACTGGGCCAGACTCTGCGAAGACGGCGATGATGAGAGAAGAGCTGCCCAGCATCATGAGCATCAGCTCGGCTAGGCTCCGCGGAAGCAACAATCGAACCAGAAGACCTGCACAGCATCATGAGCATCAGCTGGGCCAGAGCATCAGCTCGGCTAGGCCCTACGACGGCAACAATAACAATCGCAGCATCATGAGCCTCAGCTGGGCCAGACTCTGCGAAGACGGCGATGAAGCTCAGCATTGGCATCATCAGCATCAGCTCGGATAGCTCCGCAAACGAAGTGATGAAGCGAAAAGAGCTGCGCAGCATCATGAGCATCAGCTGCGAAGGCAGCGATGAAGTGAGAAGAGCTGCCCAGCATCATTAGCATCAGCTGGACCATGCTGCGCGAATGCAGCCCTGAAACGACAAGACATGCCCAGCATCATGAGCTTTTACTGGGCCACGCTTCGCGAAGGCAGCATTCGAACGAGAAGAGCTGCCCAGCATGATTAGCATCAGCTGGGCCAGGCAGAGCGAAGGCAGCACTGAAGCGAGAAGTCATGTGCAGCATTGTGAGCATCAGCTGGGCCAGGCTGCACAAGGGCGGCAATCATACCAGCCGAGGTGGACAGCAGCATGGGCATCACTTGAGCCAGGCTCCAAAAAGCAACGAAAGGGTGTTCAGCATCGTGAGTATTAGTGGAAGCGCGGCTTGCATCGTGAGCGTTTGCTGGGACATGCTCCACCAAGACCGAACTCAACAGAGACGATGTGGCCAGCATCATCAGCATCAGCTGCTGAAGGCTGCACTCAAAAGCGCAAGGAATACTTCAAGCTGCATTTTTCTACGGGTTCGAAACGGCTGAGCCATCATAGCAACTAGGCATTTGCGGCTGCTGGTTGACGGACACGTCTTTTTGGAATCCTGCGAGGGACGAGCTTCTTCTGCAAAGCGGCAGGTGTTGGTTGCAATGTGTCGGTCTCTGAGGCTGCCGGATATACATGGATACTTGTCAACATTATGGCCCTTTTTGGGTATCCTAGATATTAGGTGCCGTATTATAACAACGACCCAAAAAGGGACCATGATTTTGACAACCACCCACATGACTCAGCCAAGTCTTTTTCCACCAGCAAGGCAAAATAACGAGGGAAAGTGCGACACTGCAACGCTACCTTCAGCTCAGCTCAGGCTCCTACGGTTTAGGGTTTAGGGTTTAGCGTTTAGGGTTTAGGGTTTAGGCTCCTAAGCGTCTGCTAGATCCGGGTCTCTCAGCAGAAGCCGCCGCAAGGTCCGCAAGACCTGCTGTAACCAAGCACGTTATCCGCGGTACCTTTCCACTCTGCAGCTCAAACTGCTTTTTGGTACAGCCGCAACCTCAATGACTCAAAGTTGTCGAACTTCACTCCACCAATCAGCCGCCAAGTAACCTGCACTTGGTCCTCGATTCCGGGTCCTGAGTTGGCAGCGACCTACTGCTTCCCCTGCACCCAGCTCTTTAAGCCTACAGTACCGCTCTAAACTGACTTCCTCAGCCTTTTTCGCTAGTAACTCTACTGAGTATGTTACGTGTCCAGTCACCAGTTACTCTCCTTCCACGAGACCTTCTTCCAGACAGTGCAGGAACCACGCCTAAACTGATAGGTGTTGGTCACACTGTCTTGTTAACTACCCAGCACTCTATCACAATTGCACCCGAAACCGCATTTACCGGTTGTCCGGGGCCGACAAGTGTAGAGTTTGCACGACATGCATCTGAAAGACCTTGCAGGCAAAAGCACAACCAACTACTGAGTCATGATGCTGACACTGTATCCTCGCAGCCGAAACATGCATTCAGACTGCCTCGCGAAGCCTGCCCCAAAATTTGAAGGTGCTGCCCAAGGGTCGGAGATGTTGGAAAGGAACCTTTGTCCTTTCGCTGCCCTTGATCTCCACCACGAGGTAGTAGAATCTAAGCTTCGCAAGTCGAAAAACATGGGCTATCCTCGGCTTACGGGATTAAGGCTCTTGACTAGCACTGGTCATTATGAGTCGTTCCTGTGATGCACCCCGCAGTCTGAAGAACCGAGAGGCACATCCCAGAATGTCACTGCCTCTGCTATGATAATGTCCTGTTGAAGCAGCCGCAGTCAGTGAGCCGGCTGCACACAGTGTCTATAGCGATCGGTACACAATTTATTATTGGCCGTGGGATCCTCCGTACCCTCTTCTTGAGTGACTGCATGCGTCAGCTGCATCACACCACCCAGTCATGATCTCAGCATCAACTGCAGACTTATCTTGAGCACCATTAGCATGACGTGGTCATTGTCACGACCAGGATGCTGTTGCTGGTGAAGATAACGATGGTTAGCGTTGCTAGCCATAGATGGTATAAGTACCTGCAAGAGCGGCATGATTCATGTCCAAAGTTAGAGGCGGGAACCAACAAGACTATTGACAGAAACAAGAAGACTGTTGACAGCCTCGCTGTGCTCCGCTGTTCTCCGGTCTCCGGTCTCCGCTTTCCAAAAGCACTACAATGAAAGGGGTCCTGTATGGACGATGCACTGATGAAGTCCGATGCGATGGAACCACCTGGGATACGTGCGTTCATGCAGCAGACGTGGAGTTCAGGTAGGCCGTTAGGGTTCGACCACATTCACTGCCCTGGCACCCAGCCTGAACGTCGCGTGCTCAGCTGCAATCCAAGGCCTTCGATGCCAACGGCCACCTCAGGCGCAGAACCACCATGGCAGAGTGGCAAGATGCCAAAATGTTGGCGTGCCAGCCCTCAATCCAAAGCATCGCCTCCTCCACGACTTGTCGCGCTCGCGTCGCACGCAAGACCAGAAGCAGGGCAGTGGCGGCTGCGGCCGTCCTGCAGCCGCTCGCGAGGAGACAGGCGTCTGTTTGGGAGGTGAACCAGGCATACTCCCGAGTCTCGACTTTGCTTGGGCCTGCAGTTTGAAGGATCTTGCCGACGGATGCTCACACTTCGGCACCAGTTTACCACCAAACACTCTTGCTGCTGCTTTCTCCTGCCTCCAGCAGGCCATGCTGCCCAGCAGCGCTGGGATCCCGAAGGACCAGATCAGCCTCGACTCTGGTTTGTGGTGAAAATAGTATGTTTTCCTTTCTGAAACTGTCAAAACTGTCTTTACTTGCAGGACCTGGGCCCTAAGAAATACGCCAAGAGACTCTAAACCTTCCATCTGTTCTTTAAGCGGTGTGCGTGCAATTGCTGGGACTCGTGCCATCCGACCAACGAACAGGTCAAGGGGCTTGGGATTCAGAGTTTACGGGTAATTAAGGAGTTTGGGGTTCGGGTTTAGGATTTGTAGGTTTAGGGTTTATTTAGCGATAACGGGTTTCGGGTTCAGGGTTTAGGTTTTGGGGATTTTGGGCTCAAGGCTACTACCTCCAGCGGCTTTGTGTCTGACTGGAGCCTCCAGCGGTTTAGTGTCTGACTGAAGCTGTGCTCGGAACCGTCTAACCATTTCCTCTTTGCTGCTATTCGCTATGTGTGGAGCTGGTCTGGCGGAGCTTTCTGATTTGCAGAGTTCCTAAAAATCCTCTGGCCCTGGACTTGTCCTGCCCAGCGACGCAGGCTGGGATGCACTGCCTCGGCAACAAGAGCTTGAAGGAGCATCCAAATCCACGCTAAGGTGTGTTTCGGGGGTCTTCTCAATCTGTTCCTCTTCTGGGTGCCGCTTGGCGCATATGGGCCCTGCTCATGCTCAAAGAGAAGTCGCGGTCGCTTGGCTTCCTACGGCCCCTTATTGATGTAGGACAAGGCGTGCGCAATTCCCAAGCACAATCTGCACTCGCAGGCAGGAGCCCCGAACATAGGTCTGAAATCAATTAAATGCACCTTCGCTATATTGCTCCGGAACCACAAACCCCAAACCCGGAACCCCAAACTAACCCTCAACGAGGAACCCTGAACTCTCGAGTGCCTTCGGTTCCGACGGCCTTGCTTCTACTGTGATAGGTAGATCAGATATGGCGCCTTTGTCTTCGGCAGGCTCTGCCACAAATCGGGCGACGCCAGCCACCAAGGGCTCTGCACGGAAGCGCACCGGCATGGCCGGAGAGGGCGCTTCGGGGCTTTAGAATTTGTGCAGTCTATACTCCAAGTTGGCCATTCAGAGTTTCTCTGCTCGGATGTAGTGTCGGGGCTGAGGAGCCTTTCCATTCGCACTGGTGACCTCAAGCTTCCCCTAAGGCTCCATGTACCCATATAGGATATGCTTAGGCCTTCAAGTACTTATATAGGGACTACTTTGGGGCTTAAGTATCTACTACAAAGGTACATGGAGCCTTTGGGTTCGCGGTCCATGGCTTCCGCTTTAGAGATCCTTGGTCCGCACATGTCTCGCTAGGGCATCTTCTGTGAACACTGCGGAGACGGCATACATACATGCATGCACATACAAATACACATACACACATGCATATATATATATATATATACATATGTTTACACACATATACACAGATACAAACCTAAGCACATACACCGATACATGTGTATGTCTAGACATAATATATGTCTATGCGTACATAGATACATAGATACGTAGATACATACATACACACATACATACATACAAGCACAGACAGACAAACAGCACAAACCGGCAGACAGACAGACATACATTCGCCACAATGTATCTACCTCTCTCTCTCTCTCTCTCTCTCTCTCTCTCTCTCCCTCTATATATATATATATATATGTATATGTATATTCATATTCATTCGTATATACATATATATATATATATGTCATCATTAGGACCTGGGTTCGTCCCAAGACCATCTCCACCGAAGGATTTCAAGCAGCTGGCTGAGGCACAAAGACTAGGGGACTCCTTTCAGCATGCCATTTCGCGCAAAAGGTTCAGGGTTCAGGGTTTATACGGTATGCTATAGTCGACTAGGCTGGTAGTATATGATACTAACCACTAACCGGCTTTAAGTGAACCTGCCCTGCTCGGGGTCGAGCTTGACAGATCAGCTTGTGGTTGTCGCAGCTTGCACGCAGACTTCATCCTATATGAAGTTTCTGGAGAATCTACTCCTCAACCCTAAACCGCAAGCCCTATCAACCCCCTAAGGTAAAAGCCAGAAAGTTGGAATATGACTATCCCAAACCCTTTATGGTAAATTACAAGGTATCCTACCCTGAAACCATATTCCAACTTTCTGGAGTTCCCTTTAAAACCCTAAACCCTAAATCCTAAACCCCTAATCATAGGGGATCCTACCCTGAAACCATATTCCAACTTTCTGGAGTTCCCTTTAAAACCCTAAACCCACACCAAAAACGACCCGAGGCAACTCGCCGGTCAGACATCCGAGGTTCTTCGGCCGGACCGAGGCCTGAAGGCAAAGCGGATCGGTTTGGGAGTTTCCGACAATTTGGGTACCTTATTTTGGGGTTCCTTATAGTAAGGATCCTACTATTTAGGGTACTATATTAGGGTCCCCTATTTTCGGAAACTCCCGTTTAGGGTTTAGGGATTCTGAGTTTTACTGGGTCTTATGGGACTTCATCGGGTCTTCAAAGGATCTATGTTCTTGTGTGGAAGACGATAGGGCTTTTTCAGATACGGGGTTCCTGTGTTTCAATTTTAGAGTTTCGGTGCGCGCACGCGCACAAGGTAGGCATGGGCTTCATGATCAGTCCGACGAAGTTACAAACTGGAAGAGTTTTTTTGAGACTCGCACTCGGACAAGCGTGGCGAGGTCTGCTGGAATACAGGTCTTCTTCATCCATTTGCGTCCCAAGGAAGCCGACTGTCAAGCAAAGGATCTGAAAGCGGTGGGGTCCTTATAGAGACCTACATAGAGGTTTAGGATGCTCATGGATTTAGAACTGCTGGGTTCTTAAGGCAAAATAAGGACTTCGAACTCTGGGGTTCGCAGGGCGTGGTGGTTTGGATCCTTTTGAACTTTGGGGTTCTGTGCAAAGGGATTGGGAGCTCTAGGGTGCCATAATCATAGGGGCCCTTAGGAGAGGCAGGGGAGGGGGGGTAGGGGGGCTTAATGCCCATAATAAGGACCTAGTAAGGCCCATTTAAGGAGAAAAAAAAACCCTATGACATAAACACCTTAGCAGTTAGGGGTTCCGTTTTACTGGTGCAAGGGTTCCGAATTTTTGGTGGACGTCTTTGGGTTTAGCACATTTAACAATCCGGGCTTTAGGGCTTGAAGTTGACGGAATGGGACGAGCAATAAGGTAGGGATAAACAAAATAATGGTAGAAATGGATCGTTTCCTGTCTCATTAACTGCACGCTGTCTCTGGGGAATCAGCTGGACAGCTTTCCGAGTTCCCTGCCCATGGTCATCATGTCGTGCCGACGGGAGACCTGCAAAACCGAAAGAAAGAAATCTTTGCTTGTGATGGCTCTTGAATGTGACGGTTCTGAAGAATGCAGCAGCTAGCAGTACTGCAAGGGCGAGCGGCACTGCGCTCACATTCGCAGTGTGCTTTTTCTATGCACGATTCCTGAAGAGTTCTCCTCTGAGCTGGTGCCAAAGCACGCATCTGCACTGTGCTCACGGTCATAGCCAAAAAAAGGGCTTGCATGGCAGTGCCCCGGATCTAGTCTAGCCACCGATGTCATCACCTCACAGCTTGGGTTGAGTGAGATATGGGAGTTTCCGAAAATAGGGGACACTCATATCACCCCCTAAATAGTAGGATCCTTATTATAAGGCCCCCCAAAAAAAGGCACCCCCAATTTTCGGAAACTCCCAAATGGTGCTGTGGATCCTCGAGATTGATGCATCCAAGAGGCCCAAGGCGTGCTCGCCTCTTCCTGAGCACATGGTAGGGGTCGTTCCAAAATTAGGGTTTTTTTGTTTAGACGCCCCAAAATTAGGGTTTAGGGTTTAGGGGTTTAGGGTTTGGGGTAGGCGCACTTTCTGCAGATATTCTCTATGGCACTTCGTCGGGGTTTCCAAAAATGGGGGACCCTAATTTAGCAGCCCCTAAATAGTAGGATCCTTATTACAAGGACCCCCAATTAAGGTTCGCCTAATTTTCGGCAACTCCCACTTAGTTCTTCACGGTGCGAACAAGGAGGAGCGAGAGTTTGGATGATTGAGTTGGGCGGGTGACACGATGAGAGGGGGGAATCCGGATCTTGCGGAAGGATTTCGATCCTGCCAGTCTCCGTGAGTCTCCCCGTCCAGAGGTTTGAGACTTGCAGCCAAGAATGCTGCTACGACGAATTTGCGCATTGTAATGCATGCATCGATAACTCTCATCACCTTAAAACAGACAGCATAAGGACAATAACACCGTAATGTAATAACGCGACTTATCCAAGCGGGTGGTACTATACATAACATTCATTCGAAGATACTGAAGCCTGCCCAAAGCGCGACACTCGATCCTTGTCGAAACTGTCGAGCCCTTGCAATGTCATGTAGAAATCATATCACACCTCAAGTTGATTTCCACAGCAAACACACCCACACCAATCGTAGAACGCTTGAGCAGTACATCGCCGTCTTCCAGAGTTGAAACCTTCACGGTCTCAGGGAGCCGCACGCCAAGTGAAATCATACTGCCAACGAATACACCATGAAAGTCTACCCCCAGCACACACCCTGCCTCCTCCTCTGCAGGAAAAGCGACGGCAATGATTTTGTCGCCGTTGATCACCTCCAGACCAAGCTAATGCATCGAGATGCATTCTGGTAGCAAGTTGCATTTGGCCGAAGTAGAAAGCACTACATGTAGTAGAATGGGTAATAGTATAGTTACATAACATCGCCAGTAGTAGAGGCAGTGATACTCGTCATCGTGGAAGTAGTAGTCACAGAAGTAGATCGTTTAGCTACAACAAACAGTCGTCGTCGTAGTAGTAGCGGCAGTAAGACCAACAGCAGCAGCAGCAGTAGCAGTAGCAGTAGCATAGTAGCAGCAGCAGCAGCAGCAGCACAGTAGCAGCAGCACAGTGGCAGTAGCGCAGTAGCAGTAGCGCAGTAGCAGTAGCGCAGTGGCAGTAGCAGTAGAGCAGTAGTAGCTGGGAGTAGGAGTAGAGTAGGAGTAGGAGTAGGAGTAGGAGTAGGAGTAGGTAGTACTAGTAGTAGTACTAGTAGTAGTACTAGTAGTAGTACTAGTAGTAGTACTAGTAGTAGTAGTAGTAGTACTAGTGGTAGTAGTAGTGGTACTAGTAGTAGTAGTAGTAGTAGTAGTAGTAGTAGTAGTAGTAGTAGTAGTAGTACTAGTAGTAGTACTAGTACTAGTAGTAGTTAGTAGTAAGTCGTAGTAGTAGTAGTAGTAGTAGTAGTAGTAGTAGTAGTAGTAGTAGTAGTAGTAGTAGTAGTAGGTAGTTAGTGGTAGTAGTAGTAGTAGTAGTAGTAGTAGTAGTTAGTAGTAGTAGTGGTAGTAGTGTTAGTAGTAGTAGTAGTAGTAGTAGTAGTAGTAGTAGTGGTAGTAGTGGTAGTAGTGGTAGTAGTGGTAGTAGTAGTAGTAGTAGTCGTCGTCGTCGTAGTAGTAAGAATAGCAGCAAGAACAGCAGCAGGAATAGCAGTATTGGCAATATTGGTGCTAGTAGGTAATAATCAGGTAATAGTTCGTAGATACTCGGTAAGGAGGCAGATCGTACATCCTAGGTTGTAGGTCGTAAGTCCGACGTTCCTGCGATTGTTGCAGCCCGCAGTCCCCAGGTAGCGCTTGCAGTCCTACGTTTTTGGCGACCCTGTTGCCTGCTGTAGAATCCTAGACTTTGAGCTAAATTTTGAGCGGGGATTAGAAACTCAACCCAAAGGTTCTAGTGCAGAGTCGCTCTTGCAATGGTAAAGTTTCGGATGCTGGGGTAATCCCTAAACCATAACTAAGAGAGAGAGAGAGAGAGAGAGAGAGAGAGAGAGAGAGCAAGCAAGAGAGCGCTGCGATCCTCTGCCTAAAAGGCCCTAACGGTACTGTAGTTTTGAGCGCTTTTATCTCATTTGTGGGGTCCATTCCTGGCCAAATGCTCCGCGACACAATGAAAAATATTAGGTGGGTAATAGTACAGTTGTGGTCATCTTTACCAACAGCCGTAGTAGTAGTAGTAGTAGTAGTAGCAGTAGCAGCAGCAGCAATAGCAAGCGGATTGGGAGGAGGACTAATACTACTCTACCTCTACTACTACTACTACTACTCCTCCTACTGCTACTGCTACTGCTACTGCTACTGCTACTGCTACTGCTACTGCTACTGCTACTGCTACTGCTACTGCTACTACTGCTGCTACTGCTACTACTACGACTACTACTACGGCTACTACTGCGACTACTATTACTACTACTACTACTACTACTACTACTACTACTACTACTACTACTACTACTACTACTACTACTACTACTACTACTACGATGACGACGACGACTAGTACTACTACTACTATTACTACTGCTACTACTACCAGCCCAAGTAGTGCAGCAGCTGCATAGGTTGGAAACACTTACCTGGTTGTCGTGCTGGTACCAGTTAAGGCAAAGGTAGCATTGACTCCTCTTGTGGTCCATGTTCCATTGGGCATTCGGGTTCACTGTCTTGCTAATCCTCTAGCAATAGCAGCTGCGGCATCAGTTAAAACAATAGTAGCAGCAGCAAAGATGGCAGCAACAATCAACAACAACTCCAACAACCAACTTTGTCAAGTCAAGAAATGCTTCAGGCTTGAAGTCAAGTAGAATCGCCTGTGAATTTGGCATGGTACGCGCACGGGCTGCATGTGCAGAGTTCTAACTAAGCCTAGCATCCGTGATAGCTGTCCCGAGCGAGCCCTGAACCTTCAACTTTTTGAAGCAAGGAACATTCACAATCCCAAGAACCGATTCGAGTTAAAGGCAGCAGCAATACAAAAAACAGCATCAACGGGAGTCGAAGCCCGTCAGTTCAACTCGGTTCGGCCTGGCTGGGTTCAGAGCCTGAGATGGTTTCGATGATCTTGGCAACGGAGTCCTCTGTCCTGTCTTCAAGAAATGTCAAGTCGAGTGGGCTTTGTCTGTGAAGGGTTTCGGACCCTGCATGAGTAAAGACTGCATGAACGAAGATCATAGAAGCTGATGCAGCAGCCCGTTCGTGTGAATGACCTTGTGGTCGCGCAGGATGAAAGCAGTGACGATTCGAATCTAGCACCCACCCGTAATCTAGTTGCGGTGGTAAGACATTCATCATCAATGTGCGTCGCCTCTGCATGTGCAAACAGGGGCTTCAACTGTTCCTTCTTTAGGTGAACATGGACCCAAAAGCCCCGGCCATACTGTTAGGATATGGCTTTGGGGTATAGTATACTATGACTATAATAAGGATCCCCCCAAATAGTATTGGTAATTATTTTAGGCCCCTTTGTTAGGTACCCAAAGTCGGCCTCTTCATCACCGGATGACGTGGGATTAGCACGGCATCCTGCGAGGTTACTTGCGAGGCACAGAGAAAGAAGCTTGATTTTCAGTTGAAACAGCACCCTAAACCCTAAACCCTGCAGTACTTTTAGGATTTGGGGTTTTAGGGTTTTTAGCGTTTAAGGCTTGTGCCAAATACTGCTTGATCTTCAACGGAAACAACAGTGGCTTTCGGCGCTCACACTCGCACGCAGCAGGCAAGGCTCCACATAGTCCAATGTATCTCCACTACTTATAGCAGAGGCAGCTGCTTTTGGGTGTTGGGGTTTAGGGTTTTAGGGTTTAGGGCTTCTGTTCAACATCGGTGGGCTGATTAGACAAGAGTCCTTCTCTGAGGTGTCTTCTCACATGAGAGCATCCCGCTCATAAAAGCACCATAACGTAGGGCCTGTGATGTAAAACATACTCACACCGGAAAGTAACCCATGTAGCTTCTCAAAACCTACAACCGGGCCATTGAAACTTCGAAGACTGGAGGCCCCTATAGTGCACCCAGTTGAGCCGGTCGTGATCTTGGTGTCTGAGCCCCCTGGTGTCTGAGCCCCCGTGCTTAGTACGCGGCGTTGACTGACGTCGACCCAGGCTCTTTTTTTGGGTTTCGGGTTTAGGGTGTAGGTTTGCGCTTTAAGGTTTAGCTTGTTTTGAGCGATTTTTACAACAACATTTATAGTTAGTGACGAGGCCCCCAATATTCCGGCGGGAACTTAGACTTAAACCCTATCGAGACTTTAACCATAGACTGATGCCTGTGGGAGTGGTACTCCCTAGGAATTGACCACCCCTAGTCGTCCTTGACGAAGTCTCACAACCAAGTCATTAGCACACATCAATGTCACGTCCTCTTTTTGTCAGGGCTATAATGTCGTATGTGCAAGCTGCTATAGGGAGCCACATCCGGCAGTGGTTCAGATGTTGATAATGGTGGTTCTGCCTGCAGCTTTGATTTTTGTTGAGCAGGGGCTGCAGTGCACATTGCCCTGATGCTTCAGCTGCCGCAATGTTTGCAACGGCTGATCCTCGAATCCAGTCAACAAGGCCTCTCAAAGTCACCCAAAGAGTCCTGCGAGGAGGCAAAGTTCGGACCCAACCTCAGCCGAAGTTCGCGGCATGAAAACTGTCCGGCTTTAGTCATGACAGCAAGACTAGCAGCGGTACAGCAGTGAAAGTAAGAATGGTTAACACTATAGTAACAAATAGAAACAACGATGACAAGAAAGGTGATCAGGGATAGGTAACGCGAACAGGACCGACCTGTCTGCAACGACATAGCGCAACAATACTGATGATAAGACGGTCCAGTTCTCTCCGCATCGCAAGTTGCAGACGGATTGATAAGTCCAAACCCGAAACCGAAGCCTGTTGCAGAACCCTAAACCATGAAATCCCTAAACCAAAGTTCTGGTTGCCTTCCTTACAGTTTCCTCTGCTTGGTGCATTTTTCGTCACGGCCATGTTTCTTGGTTGGCAGTAGATAGCCGCTGCTTGCTGCCCCACATTTCTTGAGATGGAACAATGAGCATAGGATAATTTTGATTGGCAGATTTCGTAAGCATCGGCAGCAGTCGGCGAATCACTCCAGATCATGGTGAACCGCAAAACCTAAACCAAGGATTGGGGCTATGGGGTTTCCAACTTTTGGGCTTCTACTGTAAATCCTGAACCAAATTGACTCCAACCGCCCCAAAACCCTAAAGCTTATGAACTTCCGAAACCCCAAGCCCTGTTTCTGGGTGACATCGCCACCCCATTGCTTCAATGTACTGGTCCTGGCCAGAGGGCCTGCACTGACATCTGGATTAGGAGGGTTTTGAGGCTTTAGGGTTTTCAAAGGGGAAAAGGAAGGACCCTGAATGGGGACCCCTACCCTATAATGGGCTAATATGGGCTATACGATGGGTATATACCTATAGGGGTCCTTATTAGGGGTCCCTCCTTTTACCCTTTGAGGTTTGCCGTCGAATAGCGCAACAGGCGGCTAAATCTTGCGAAGAGGTTGTGTCGAGTGCGTCGTACTGTGGCGAGGAGCTGCCAACGTCTGTCAAAAGAGGGCTTTTCCTTTCTTCACCCACCCCTCGCCGTCCAAGGCGGCCAAACCACCCAAACGTGTTCCTTTGAGGGTTTAAATCTAAACTCATGCCATCGCGCTTGTCTTCTTTTCTTGCAGTAAGGCAACGGGACAGGGGCAGGGCAGGGCAGGGGCAGGGGACAAAGGGCAAAAGCGACCTATGCCTTGAGTATAGGGGTTTAGGGTTTAGGGGTTTCGGCGCTCACACTCGGACAATCCAGGCAGGCATGTGGTTTAGGGGTTCAGGCTTTAGGGCCTTTAGGGGTTGAGGGTTTAGGGTTGTTTCTCCAGGCGAGGCATGCGGTTCAAGGTCTGTTGAGTGAGACAAAGACTTGGGGGGGAAATCATAGCAATTGAGCCCAGTGTTCGCATATTTTTCCCTCCTAGTGTCCACATATCAGGTTTAGGGGCTTGGAGCTAGTTTGATCATTACAGTACAGTAACACCGATTGCCATCCCACATGATCCGGGAAGCGGACTTTCCACTGGGTTTTAAACTGAGAAGTGTCTACATATTAGGGTCTTAGGGGTTGTTTGCGGGCAGCATGGCAGACCTTAGCGCTGTTACTTTGGGAGCATGACAGAACGACTCACCCAGGGGCAGGCCTTAACCTGTACATGTCTAGACAAGTCCAAAACACTCGCTCACTAAAGCAAAACCGCAGTGTTCGTAAGGTCGATCGCATGGTGCCTGTGCGAACCGAAGAGCAGCGTATCCGAGAAGGCAGCAGCTAGCAGAGCATAGATCTTCGAGGCCTGGAAAGCGAGGGCAGCGTGGAGTGCAAGACTGGACCATGGGTAAAACCGTTGAGTTGTTCCCTGGGGAGATTTAGCATCATTACAGTGTACGCTGGGAGTTGCTTTCATCGTCCGGGCCTGCCATGTTGTCACTTGTAGTACAATGCCCGCCTGTACCATCACACCGGTCACTAGCATGTTCTTACATGCGTCATGGTAATTACGATGTTGCACTGGTGCATCCACATACAGCCGTGTTGATACGTCGAAAATGAAGAGTCTTCTGTATGTGTGTATATAATGTAAGTATATCTGTATGTATATCTATGTATCTCTCTCTCTCTCACACGGACTGATATATGTATATATATTACTATATATCTATGTATAATATATGCTTATGCTTGCATTACTTAGCGCCATCCCTGTTATACAAGGGAGGCTAGGCTGTTGACCTAGAACAGCTAGACCTATTGTCCTGCCACCAGGACGAACATGGCTTGCTAAGGTGCGATGATGAAGAGTGCTGGCTCTACAGTTTAAGAGAAACACTACACTGCGTCATCTGACTTGAGAGTGTCTTGTTAGTTGATGCCTTGCTGAAGCTTCGGCCGTATCTAAAAAGTTCGTGGACTACCGGAGAAGCAGTCCGGAGTCCTAGGTATGATACGCGAATGTAGAAGCATGCCACAGGACATCAGCACAACTAGAAGATTGCCGACTTACAGGAACTGGCAGAGGCATTGGACATCCGTGACGCAGACCTCCGTTACACGAGCTTTCACATCGCCCCCGAAGCCTTCCGAAGGTCCCAATCCATAACAAAACGCAGGTAACATGAATCGTCCTGGTAACACGGGAGTCCGATGCTGCACGTAAACAGCAAGGTAAGGTTTGTTTTGATCTTGTGGGCATTGTTGGTATGGCACTTTCAGATGAACCCGTCAGGCCTGCATCCATTTGCAGCTGCGCTCCCTTGTACGTCTACTCCTTCCTATGTTTCTCTTCGGTTTGTTCCCCTGCCACGAAACAAGCCCTGGCTTGTACCGTGTTCCCTCTTCTTCCATCTTCAACCCACAAACACGAAAGGACTGCCAAGCTCCTTCCATGCAAACATGCTGTCAACAAGCAAGGAGTATAAGTGTTTGAGGATGTTTGAGGCATCGCTGGAAAACATCAAATCTGTAAAGCCTCTCCTCGCGAATGCGAATGAAGTTATGACGAGACTTTCCCAAGGACCTGACTCAAACCTGAACCTTTAAACCTTCTAAGCACCCGACGGGTGCACGAAAGACTTCGCCGATCGCTGGCACCTTGGAAAGAGAGAGCAAGACAAACAAAAGGGGGAATGCGGGAGAGAGACTGCATGTGTCTTGGGTGTGTATGCTCTTGAGTGCATGTGCCCATGTGTGGTTCGGCGGGTCGCAGGTAATGCTTCGCGCAAACGAGTTTGGACTCAGTGAGTGAATGAGATGGGGCTGAAAGGGGTGTCGCTGGTGGCCTCCTACCGATTCCTACTCCTACTGCTTCTTCGCACAACAATGGCTGCCGGGGCTCGACGGACGAACATGCCTACTCTTTGGCTCACGGCAAACCGCTCCTCCAACTCTCTTGACAGGCAAGGCCGTTGTAACGCATGGCGCCGGCCGGAGATTTGTATATACAGTGGCATTCTCGCAGCCTTTTCATGCTGGAAATTAACACGTTCAGCAAGTTCCTCGGCACTGCAACAGACATGCTGTTAGGTGGAATGTGGGTCTTACTCTAAGCGTAAGCCCCTCCCGTACTAGCGGATGTTCAACTATGCGTAGATCTACGCTAAACCTTAAAAGCCTCACAAAACAAAATTCCCCAACCCCCGAAGCTTCTGAAGCTCCCGAACATGCCGAGCCAATCTTCCAACCCCTGACTTCCGCAAACTCCGTATACCAGGTCGCAGGCCTCTTTTTTACGTCCAAAACCGAAATGTCCGCCTAAGCCGCTAAGCCCTTTTTATGCACGGACTTTGAGTGTATGCCGGCAGCCATGCCCCGCCCCGAACCAACTAATCCCCGGGGCCTTATATGCCCTAAACCCCATAAACCCTGCCTTGAGCTCTACGCTCTGCGGATTTCATGTCAAGCTTTCACTTACCTGTGGTTAGTGGGGAATGGAAGAATGGTAGTAATACGGTTGATGATACAAATCCTGCATGACCTTCAGGACCCTAAACTATGGGAGTTCTGGCATATTCTTTATTATGGGCAATGCAGGATTTATATCATCAACCGTAGTAGTTATAATTGTACCCCATTCCCCCATTCCCTACTAACCCAAGGTAAGGCTATAGGATTATTAAGGCCCCCATATTATAGTAACCTTATAGATCCCTTATAGGAACCCTTATAGACCCCTTTAAAAGGCCCTACTAACCCCTACCATTCCCCCATTCGCTACTCACCCAAGGTAAGGCTATAGGAATATTAAGGCCCCCATATTATAGTACCCATATAGATCCCTTATAGGAGCCCTTATAGACCCCTTTAAAAGGCCCCTACTGACCCCTACCATTCCCCCATTCGCTACTCACCCAAGGTAAGGCTATAGGATTATTAAGGCCCCCATATTATAGTACCCATATAGATCACTTATAGGAGCCCTTATAGACCCCTTTAAAAGGCCCCTACTGACCCCTACCATTCATTCCCCCATTCCCTAAGCCAGGTCAAGCGAGGCCTTCAAAGTTATGTATTCTGTTTTGTTGACAGAGGGTATACCGATACATATACACATACAAAATCAATATATATATATATATATATACATGTATAACACATTCAACGAATAAAACCCTTGATTTCGTGCTTCTCATGAAGGTACATACATATTATGATATACATACATGCATGTGTATGCACCTATGCAAATGGCCGAGTGGCTCGCCTAAAAATCTGTGAAAATCCTGTCCGAGCTGGCTTCCGGAAAGGGTTTTTTTTGCAATCCGAACCAGGTCTCCCAACTCGAAGATCTAAATCCCGACAGTATACCCGTAATGTATTTACCAAGTTATGGTGCCTCGCCCAGGACAAGGATATCGAGGCCAGTTTGGCACAGACTCAGATGAACATAGTCGGACCTGTCAAGGACCCTCTCTAACCTTCCCTTGCCAACGGTGGCAAGGGGCATTTTAAGCCTTGCACCGAAGATGGTGTCAAGTGCAGCACTAGTCCGGAGCTCCAGTCTGCGATGATCTCGCTTTGGAGGCGATGGCCATGAAAGATCTATAATTTCTGGTCAGAACTTTGGATCCTTGACCTGCGTTGCGACTATTTATCTTAAACGAATTTGCTGTGCACTGTCCCTCGATCCTCTTGCACGTCTGCCGGTGGAGTTTGTGGGGGGGGGGGGGTAAGGCACTTCTACACTAATCCGTTCCTAGCTTGCTGAAGTCACTGCCTGAACGCCCTACCCCTAAACCCACCATAAACCCTAAACCCTATACACCCAACCTAGAACCCCAGGGCCCTCTTTCAGGCAGGGAGGATGGGAGCCCGAAAACCTAAAAGGGATCTAGAAGACTACCGTTAGGGTACTATAGGTACTATAAGGGCACCTTTAAGCCACTTTAAAGACTCCTTGCTGGAGCTAGCAACCCGATCAAGACTAGCCCTGTCCTCTTGAGGGTTCTGAAGTTGAACTGAACCCTTTTTGCCACTGGACTCAAGTCTGGCCAGCTTGAACTGAACCCTACCTAAAGTCTCCATTGTAGTTCCTTTTTTTGGTTAACCAAAACCTCTTATAGGGTCCTAACCATAAAACTGGTTAACCGGAAAAAGGAACTACAATGGAGACTATAGGTAAACCCTAAACTGAAGGTTCAGAGCCCAGCATCTCATATACGAGCCGAGCCCTAAACCCTCAGCCCTTTCTTTGAGAAGGGACTGCAACGCACCAAGCCCTGAGCCCTAAACCCTAAATCCTGAACCCCAAACCTCAAACCCTAAACCCCAAATCCTAAACCCCAAATCCTAAACCCCTAACCCCTAAACCACTCCTAAACCCTTGCTGAGAGAGTCGAGCTACGGATCTCCAAAGCCTTGCATGTGTTGGGCGGTTTTTGCCTTGTAGTGTAGGGGCCTTAATAATTAGACTTGGGTTTGGGGTTACACTATAGTGTAACTACCATAGGGGAAGCTCCCAAAAAATGCGGGTAACTACTTACGAGGATCTTGTGGGTCTCATGTATGATAATATTGCGGATTGGGTTCTTTTTCCCGTCCTACCTAGCAATGACGAAGCCCGCATTGCAGGGTAAGCTGTTTAGGGTTTAAGGGTTTAGGGTTTCGGCGCTCAGGGTTTAGGGGTTTAGTAATAGGGTTTAGGTGGAGTCACGGGTTCCTCCCCTGTCTCCACCGGCCCTAGGATGGGTGAACCCTGAACCCTCGAAAGCAAAAAGCCCCTGAAGCCCCTAGACCCGGTGCAGTAAGCATCATTGCTCCGAATCGGTACGAGCCTCGGTGGCTGGTGACTAGGATGCAAGGTTTTAGGATGGTATCGGCTTAGAGTTTGTGTAGAGTTTAGGGTTTAAGGGTTCGACTAGGGAATCCTTGGGGCTTTTTGTTGTTGGGGTTGGGGCTTAGGGTTTCGGTGTCAGGTTGTAGGGTTTAGGGCTTGGGGTTTCCGTGTTTTGATGGTTGAAAGTTAGGATTTCGGGGTTCAGTCCCAGGTACGGGGTTGGACTTTCAAACCTGGGAAAGGGCGAAGCGCGTGCACCAAATCACGACACCACTGTCGCAGAACGGCAATCCTTATATAGGCTCTCATGTCCAAGAGTCTTCCGCAACTCTGTTTACGGAAACCCTAAACCCTAAACCCCTAAACCCTCTAAGCCCTAAACCCAAACTCTAAACCCTAAACCCCTATACCCTAATCCCTATAGAACCCTGAAGGGAACCCTTAAAAGGACCCTTGAGGGAGCAAGGTGGAAGCGTTTTGGATTTCCCTCCCTCGCTCCTCCGAAAACCTCCGGAGTCCATGGCGTTCGGCAGATCTGGGAGTTTCCGAAAATAGTAGGATCCTTATTATAAGGACCCCAAAGTAAGGTACCCTAATTTTTGGAAACTCCCATATGTTTCAGCAAAGGTGCAGCCCTCGCCATTCCACGGAGAATGCCGCCACCTCATTAGGCAAAACCCTGGCTC